GTGTGCATCTTCAAGATGTGCTACAGTAAGGGACACACACAATTTGGTGCCAATCTCCTAGTCACATTCTGCCCGCTACAATGTCTGACAAGAAATGGTAAAAGCTCACCTGCACCAGAAAGTGTCAAATCTCCCTTTCTCAGAGAGAGTCAGCAGCCTGCGCTGGAGCTGGAGGCAGTTGCACACTGAACCACTGAGGCAGACTGGCCGAGTTTTTTTTTTTTTTTTCTATTCATGTATGGGATGTGGGCATCACTGGCTGGCCAGCACTTCATGCCCATCCCTAGTTGCCCTTGAGAAGTGGTGGGGAGCTGCCTTCTTGAACTGCTGCAGTTGTCCTGCTGTGGGTTGACCCACAATGCTGTTAGGGAGGGAATTCCAGGATTTCGACCCAGCGACAGTGAAGGAATAGTGATACATTTCCAAGTCAGGATGGTGAGTGACTTGGAGGGGAACTTGGAGTTGGTGGTGTTCCCATATGTCTGATATCCTTGTCCTTCTAGATGGAAGTGGTCATGGAAGGTGCTGTCTGAGGATCTTTGGTGAATTACTGCAGAGCATCTTGTAGATAGTACACACTGCTGCTACTGAGCATCGGTGGTGGAGGAGGGAATGGATGCTTGTGGATGTAGTGCTAATCAAATGGGCTGCTTTGTCCTGGATGGTGTCAAGGTTCTTGAGTGTTGTTGGGGCTGTACTCGTCTCGGCAAGTGGGGATTATTCAGCTACACTCCTGACTTGTGCCTTGTAGATGGAGGACAGGCATTGAGGAGTGAGGAGGTGAGTTACTCGCCGCTGTATTCCTAGCTTCTGGCCTGCTCTTGTCACCACTGTGTTAATGTGGTGATCCAGTTGAGTTTCTGGTCAATGGTAACCCCCCAGGATGTTGATAGTGGGGGAATTCAGTGATGTAACACCATTGAATGTCAAGGGATGGTGGTTAGATTGTTTCCCATTGGTGTTGGTCATAGCCTGGCATTTGTGTGGTGTGAATGTCATTTGCCATTTGTCATCCCAAGCCTTGATATTGTGCAAGATCTGGACTGCTTCAGTATCTGAGGAGTCATGAATGGTGCTGAACATTGTGCAGTCATCGTCGAACATCCCGACTTCTTACCTGCTGATGGAGGGAAGGTCATTGATGAAGCAGCTGAAGATGCTTGGGCCTGGGACACTACCCTGAGGAACCCCTGCACAGAAGGCCTGGAGCTGAGATGATTGACCGCCAACAGCCACGACCATCTTCCTATGTGTCCAGTATGGCTCCAACCACTGGAGAGTTTGCTGCCTGATAACCATTGATTCCAGTTTTGCAAGGGCTCCTTGATGCCACACTTGGTCGAATGCAGCCTTGATGTCAAGGGCTGTCACTCTTACCTCACCTCTGGAATTCAGCTCTATTGTCCATTTTGAACCAAGGCTGTAATGAAGTCAGGAGCTGAGTGGTCGTGGCGGAACCCAAATTAGGCGTCACTGAGCAGGTTATTTCTGAGCAGGTGCTGCTTGATAACACTGTTGATGACACCTTCCATCAATTTACTGATGATCGAGAGTAGACTGATGGGGGTTAATTGGCCATGTTGGGTTTGTCCTGCTTTTTATGTACAGGACATAACTTGGGCAATTTTTCCACATTGTTGGGTAGATACCAGTGTTGTAACTGTACTGGAACAGCTTGGGGAGGGGAGTGGCAAGTTCTGGAGCACAAGTCTTCATTACAATTGCTGGAACGTTGTCAGAACTCATAGCCTTTGCAGTATCCAGTGTCTCCAACCGTTTCTTGATATCACGTGGAGTGAATCGAATTGGCTGAAGACTGGTATCTGTAATGCTGGGGACCACTGGAGGAGGCCAAGATGGATCGTCCACTAGACACTTCTGGCTGAAGATTGCTGCGAATGCTTCAGCCTTATCTTTTGCACTGATGTGCTGGGCTCTTCCATCATTGAGGATGGGGATATTTGTGGAGCCGCCTCCTCCAGTGAGTTGTCTAATTGTCCACTATATTCACGTCTGGATGTGGCAGGACTACAGAGCTTAGATCTGATCTGTTGGTTGTGGTTGTGGGATCGCTTAGCTCTGTCTATCACTTGCTACTTTCGCTGTTTGGCGTGCAAGTAGTTCTGTTTGATGGCTTCACCAGGTTGATACCTCATCTTCAGGTATGCCTGGTGCTGCTCCTGGCATGCACTCCTGCACACTCCATTGAACCAGGGTTGACCCCCTGGCTTGATGGTAATGTTTGAGTGGGGAATATGCTGGGCCATGAGGTTACAGATTGTGCTGGAGTACAGTTCTGCTGCTGTTGATGGCCTACAGTGCCTCATGGATGCCGAGTCTTGAGTTGCTAGATCTATGCAAAGTCTGTTCCATTTAGCACGGTGACAGTGCCACACAACACGATGGAGGTTATTCTCAATGTGAAGGCGGGACTTTGTCTCTTGCTGCTTCCTCCCTCATTACCTGCTGCAGACCCATTCTAGCAGCTATGTCCTTCAGGACCCAACCAGCTTGATCAGTAGCGCTGCTGCCAAGTCACTGTTGGTTGTTGAAATTAACCTCCCTACCCAGAGGAGTGAGATTTCCTCCAACAGGGTGTTCATCTGATGGTGTTTATCACGCCTTAAATAACAAACTGGGAGAAGGGTGATATTGAAGGATCCAACAAGCATTTATTACAACTCCATCTCATACAGAATCACTACATTCCACAGGTGTAGGTGAGTGGGTAATATTAAACAACTAGTTTAACATGGCAAGGGAATAGACACAAAGTAAAGCTATCTCTTAAAACTCACTGCATCAAGTATTCTTAGGACAGGTATAGCATGGTGTCAGATACAGAATAAAGACTTCTCTATTCTTTTAATATAAAAGCAAATGGAAAATAAACTCCTTCTACACTGGCCTATCAAATACTCACAGGACAAATACAGCACAGGGTTAGAGAAAGTTTCCTCTGTTTCTATAAACTGAAATTCAAGCTACCGCTACTCTTTTAAACTGAAATTAAGGTTCCCTGACCATTGTAACCATCCCCACCTGCATCTGCAATGCACACTTTCAGTAATTTGCTTACAAGGGACACCCAAGTGTGGTTTGACATTCCCCTCTCTCAGTTCATAGCCATTCAGATAATAATCCTCTTTCCTATTTTTCCTGCCAAACTGCCCTTCTGTTTTTGCTGTCAAAAGCTATCCAGACCTTAAATATCATCTGCTAGCAGGTACTTGACACAGATTATTGATTGAATGAGAGAGAGAAAAAAGAAACATGATCCAAGATGCAGGATTGAAGGAAATAACTCCCCTATTGAACATGTTGACTTTCACAAAAGTGGCTGGGGCCCTAAGGAATATTTCCATGCAATGATATGATAGTACTACATGTGTGCTGATTCTCACTGTCAAACAAAGCTCATGTCTTTATCTCTATCTCTCCACAGTAAACACAAGCTTGGACCCTGTGTCAGTGCATTTTAATCTTTCTTTCCTCCTCACAGCTGAAGGCAAGAGACAATCACGACAAGGCCATCACTTAATCATGGGTATTCCATAAATATCAAGATTTTCCTAACTTATACGACGAAGAACTGTAGTGTAGAACTTTTAGCTTTTCTCTTCATTTCTCTATTTTTGTACCTTTTTTAGTACCTATGATTCATACTTAGATACTTTGTACCTAAGATGGTGCTGTGTGGGGTGACATTGTACACATTTCACTGTACTCCTGTACTTTTTACTTTGGTACACATGACAATAAAGCTAATTCGAATTTTGTCTCCAGTGAGACATTACCAGTGTGAGGGCTGACGAGTGGAATGTAGCATGTTGTCCTCACACTTGTGGGAGAAAAAAAAAATCCAGACACTGTTCTGCCTGTTATACACTGCGGACTGAGATGTGAATTCCAAGAAACACTGAATCCCACCTACCTGATATACCAATATGGTTTTATTTCAGTGCATGTATTCTCTTATTTCCATTGAAGCAGGCAGTTGCAACACTGCTTTCATGCATCTTGTGGGAAAAAAAAAATTCCATGAGCTGCAGTGTGAGTCTTTCAAAGGTTCTTTAAAAAATCAGAAAAGGGAAGTGTCGAAATAAAGAAGGTTTTTGCGGAGTTTGTCAGTGTGTTTCACACACTCTGTAGAGCGAGGCACTTGAAGAGGCTGTTAGCTTCAGGATTGTTTCTTGACACGGGTTGTTATGCGAAACCATAAGCTGGATTCTCCCGTTCCATCAAAACAGTAAGTAACCCATCAAATGATTTATTATATATCTGAATTCAGACACAAATTCATTGGTAGCAACGTCAGATGGTGTAGCATTTCAGTACATTACTTGACTAGTATTTCAATAGAGTTGTTGTATTCTGTTGTTATCTAATTAGTGCATTTTTTCTCAACAGAGGGGTTAAGTTCCAATGCCACTAACAGTTTCGGTTAACAACTATTCACCCTCCGAGCCAGATCGTTGTCCACTCCTTTGTCTGTCCAACTGTTTTTCTCTCTCTTTGCATTCTGTCCCCACCTATTGTTTACTCCTTACTCCCACCCTACCTTCTACATCAAAAAACAAGAATTTCCTCGCTACCATCAGTTTTCAGAAAGGGTCACAGGACCCCAAACATTAACTCTGATTTCTCTTCACCGATGCTGCTGAGTTTTCCTGCAATTTCTGGTTTTATTTCTGATTTATAGCATCCTCAGTTCTTATGGTTTTTATTTAGTATCCAACACACTCGGAGTTTACAAGAAATGAAAAAGTTGCTAATGCTGCTTGTCTGAGCCAGTGTTGAAGCTGTCATTTATATGCACGTATTTGTCAGAAAACTTTACTGACATACTTGCTTCGATGAGGCTTGACTCAGCTGTTGCTGACCTTCAGTCCTCCCTGAGACAAAGCACAGCTGGGGTCTAATCTCTTACACTGTATTTTATTTTAATGCCATTGCATTAAGTCAGAGAACAAGTCTTTGTGCCAGCAAGTCTATAAATTGCACACTTCTGAACAGAGATTCATAATTAGGGAAGTGAAGGACTTGAGTATATTCCTGAGAGAGAAAAGAAACAGGAAGTGTTCATTTTGCAACAGAGGGACTTGGGAACTGGAGTGGGCCTTTCAGCCACTTGAACCTGCCGTCCCATTGAATATGATCATGCCTGATCAAACACTTCAATGTGTTTTACGCACTCCATCCCCATATCCCAATTAACAATTGGCAATCAGAAATTTATCAGTCTCTCCCTTAAATATACACCGAGATGGAGTGACTGCAGCTCCCTGTAGGTACTGAATTCTAAAGCTGAGCAAAATACCATAAGCCCTCATTTTGGACCTAAGTCCCAATTATTTTAAAACCTTGCCTGGTTCTAGTCTCCCCCAACCAGCGACTGTTAAACCTGTATCTACCATGTCTCTTCCCTTTTAAGCATTGTGCGACAATGTTTTCAATAATATCATCACTCATTCATTGAATCCCTAGATAATACCAGCCCGGTTTGTCCACTCTCTCTTCATAGGATGTTACCACCATCCCAAGGACAAGTCTGGTGAATGTACATGGAAATAACATATCTGCTGAGATAAGGAGACCCAAACTGCACACAGGACTGCAGGTGCGACATAACTAAAGTCTGATACATTTGAAACAAGACTTCACTACTGCTGTACCCAAATCTTTTTGCAGTAATGTCTGACATTCCATTAGCTTGCCTATAAGTGTCTTCAGGCATCAAGCAAGGCATCAGAGATTTAAACAAGAATGGTGCAATGTAATCATGGGTTTAATTTACATATAGCTTGGATAAGACAAAGTGGTGGAGTATTTCCATGTGTATGTGTGTATATGTGTTCTGTTTGTTTTGTATTCATTTGTGAAATGTGGGCTTTGCTGGATGACCAGCATTTATTGTCCGTCCCTAGTTGCCCAGACCAATACCTTGAAGAACCAACTTGACAACAGGATATTCTATATGGGACATTTTGCAATGAGAAACAATGCATTAGCAATCTTGTGATGTGCTGGTCACTTGGGGAAGAGTGACCATAATATGAGGTCATTCTTCATTGAAGTGAAGAGCCAAGTAGTTGAACTAGAAGCTCGGATCCTGAATGTAAATGAAGGGAACTATGAGCACGAGAGGCACAAATTGAAAAGGATGGACTGTGGAGTCATACTAAAGTGGTTGATGGTGGATAGGACGTGATTCATGCTTAAAGATAGTACCCATGAATTACAACAATTATTCATTCCTGTCTGACAAATGGAAAAGGGGGAAAAGTGGCTCAACAATGGGTTAAAAAAGAGATGAGGGAGAACCAAATAGCAGAGATGTAAAATTGCCAGAGCAAAGAAAACAGCAAACCGAAGGATTGGGAACATTTTAGAAATCAGCAAAAAGAGGAAAATAAATCTCGAGTGGAAAAAAGTGTTGGAGAGGAAAATTGCAGTGAGCATAGAAATTAGCTGTAAAAATGTCTATAAATATGTGAGAACAAGGAGTTTATGAAGGTAGATGTAGGACAAGTGCAGTGACACTGGGGAACAAAGAAATGGCACAAGATTTGAACAAATATTTTGCTGCTGTCTTCACAAAAGAGGGCTCCAGTAAGTGCACATAAATGTTAGAGAACAAATATTAAGGTTGAGTGAGAGGGCCAATGTGAATGGGATCAGTATTAGGAAGGAATAAGTGCTGGGGTAAGTAACAGGGTTAATGATTGACAAACCACTGGAACCTGATCATCCATATTCCAGAGTAGTGAATGAAGTTACCCTGGAAACATAAGATGCATTGATAATCATCCAAAATTCTGTAGTCACTGGACGTTGCTGCTCTCTTTCATTTTATATATCCATAGAAGCTCTTTCTGTATATTTTTATGTTTCTTAACATCTTACTTTTGTGATCATTTTTTTTCTGTTTTTAAGCATCATCTGCGTCTTCCTGAAAGATGTCCAATTCTCTAACCTACCTCTACACTTTGCTGCTTTGTCTACCTTAAGTTTTGAATTGGACAATGCTCATTGACCATCTTTTGTTAGCCACAGGTAATTCCGCTTTCTTGTTGGGTTCTGCTTTTTGACCTGAATATTTTTTTTTTTGTTTTCTCTGCTGGTGTTGAAACTTCTGCTTTCAAATCTGACACTGCTTATCCATGGAGATTGCCCTTAGTCTCTTTTTGTAGCCCCCTCTTGTGGTGATTGGAACAATGTCAGCCAGCTGGACCTCATAGAATATGAGTTCCCTGTTTGGGGCTATTAACCTGGTCCTGTCAGGGAAGACCTGGCTTACAGATATAAACAGGAGTGTCAGGGATTCTGCTCATTCTGAGAGCCAGCTCTGTGCTGGCTGGTTCAGTGTCATGTACTAAGCACATGTAAATAAAGGTGACTTGGTGATGGGATATCAGCCTTCATTTAGTTATTTTAGTGATGACTGAGAAACACGCCCCTGAAGAGATTCGCTCACAACAATTGTCTTTGAATTGGGGTAAGGATTTCTGGCATCATGCTGCTATTTGGGAAGCTTGACTTGTTCGATTCAGTGGCCAAAGACTTATCCCAGTATATAGTTATTGTTTCCGGGCAAATAACATTGGGACAGATGAACAACGAGTGATTCTCCTGACAGGTTGTGGACCCATGGCAATATTGGTTATTCGGAGCCTAACTTTCCCAGAGGCACCAGATACTAAAATCTTTCAAGAGTTTACAAATTTAGCTAAGGAATATTACAACCCAAGCTACAACTAATTCTGAGTTGCTATTCAACAGTTTGAGTACCAGGGAATTCATATTGGGATTTTTTTGATGAGGTTAAGATGACTGGCAGAGGTGTGTGATTTTGATTTAAACCTAAGTGAGATTCTGAGAGACAGTTGTTATGTAGGATTAATGACATGACCACGCAAAAGCGCCTACAAGCTGAAGCCCAATGAGACTTCAGACAGGCACTACCTTTAGCTTTGTTGTTAGAAAATGTGGAAAGTCGAGCTAACGAATTACAGGGTATGCTGATAGACATCGACATCCTTGCCAGGCCCACTCAGCTTGGGGAATACTGCCTTGAATGAAGGCAAGTGCATAGCCTCACTTAGGACATATCCTAATTGGAAGGAGCCTCAGTAAGCCCACAGCAAAACCCCAAAACAAAGCCAAGCCTCAGCCAAATAGTCAGAATTTTCTCGAGGATCTGGGCTGGCAGGCCATTGAAGTTACTGCCAGAATGTGGTCTCAAGACAACAAAAGTGTCCCACTAAGCATGAATGGTGTAAGAGAACTCAAAGGCCAGTATCCAGGAGTGTGCACACCCTGAAAAATCCACCTACAGCTCGTTTAGAGCAAGTAAATTGCTTAGTAATATCCAAATCACAACCAATCCAAATAAATGTCTGGTCAAATGGTCACACGGTTCTCATGGAGGTTGATACTGGTGTGGCTGTATCAATGATGGCAGAACTGGTCTTTACCAAAATTCGCTCTGGACTTCAAACTTTAAGGTTGCATAAGACCTCAGTCAGGCTGAGACCCTGTACGGAGGAACCCCTATGGTTTAAGGGTACCACTTTGGTGTAGGTCCCTATGAGAAACAGCTTGTTCAGTTACCACTGATTGTGCGAAAGGTCATAGGCCCAAGTTTGATGGGGCGAAATTGGTTGAGAAAGATTCAACTTGATTGGCTGTACATTTTTTGATTAGAAAATGGTTGCCTGAGTGAAGTCCTAATTAAATACCTGGATGTTTTTCAGGGAAGCCTGGGGACTGTCAAAGGGGCCAGGCCACCTGACATGTTGACCAAGATGCAATTTCATGATTCTGCAAGGCCCACACAGTGCCATTTGCCTTATGCGCAAAAGTAGAGGCAGAAATCAGGAGGCTGGAAAGGAAAGGAATTGCCAAACCAGTATAGTTTCCGTTATGGGTAGCATTGGTTTTACCAATTATGAAGCCCGATGGTTTGTTTAGCCTTTTGTGGGGATTTCAAAGAAACAATAAACCAGTTTTCACAGATGGATAAATACCCAATCCCTCGCATAGAGGGCTTATACACAACACCCATAGGGGCGATGGGGGGAGCGGGGAGGGTGTGGTGGCTGTCCTTCACGAAGCCGGACATGAGCCATGGGTACCTGCAATTGCAATTAGATGAGGATTCCCAGACCTATGCTACAATTAATACCCATAAGGGTTTGCACCAATACACCAAACTGCCTTTTGGGGCATCATCAGCCTGTGCCATTTTCCAGTGGACGATGGAAAACTTTCTACAAGGTCTACCCCAGTTCGCCATTTATCTGGATAATGTGCTAATGACCGGGAAGAGCATTTAGTGAACTTGGACAGAGTACTTTCGCATTTCTCCCAGGTGTGTGTATGCCTTAGGACAGAAAAATGTGTGTTTCAGCCACCCCAAGTAACCTACTTGGACGACAGAGTTGATAAGACTGAGTTACACCCACTGGAAGATAAAGTGAGCATGATCAGAGGTAGCTGGCTCTCACACTGTACCAGAGCATAGGTATTTCCTTGGGTTGGTGAATAATTACAGAATATTCATACGTTACCTGGCCTCCATCCTGGCACCCTTACATTTGCCATTGAAAAAAGGTCAGTTTATGAAATGGTCTCATAGTGAAGACGTAGTCTTTGTCGGAAGTGAAAAATCAGCTATAATTGTCTAAGGTGTTGGCACACCATGATCTCAGGCAAGATGTGGTGCTGACATGCGATGCCTCCCTGTACGGTATTCGGGTACTGTTGGCTCTTCGGTGGCCCAGCAGAGAGAAATACCCGATCGTGTATGCATCCCGAACTTTGGCTGATGCCAAGTGAAGATATGCCCAGGTAGAGAATGACAGTTTGGTGCTCATCTTTGGTGTGAGGAAGTTTCACCAATATCTTTACAGATGTAAATGTCTAATAGTAATGGACCACAAACCCCTGCTAGGGCTATTTAAAGAGGACAGGGCCGTGCCACTGATGGCTTCAGGCTGAATTTAGTGGTGGGCTCTAATGCTAAGTGCATATAATCTTAAATGGGAAAACCATCTGGCCAGCTAAGTAGCAAATGCGGATGCAGTGAGTAACCTCCCACTGGAAGATACGCTGCTGAAAGTGCCGTCACTGGAGGTGTCCATAATGGCTTTAAATTTTCTGAACACATTTCTAGTCACAGCTGAAAAGATCAGACTTTGTTTTCAGAAAGATCCAGTCCTGGCAAAACTGGACCAGCTGCTGGTGATGGGGGAAGCCAGAGAGCAATCACAACCAGAATTGAAAACTTTTTGGGTCTGGAGAAACCAGATCACAATACAGGATGGCAATAGTATTATGGGGAACAAGAGTGATTGTCCTGAGCAAAGGTCACTGCCAGATACAGCTGAATTCCACCAAGGTCATCCAAGGGTTTTTAAGTTGAAGATGGACCTCGTAGGTATGAATTCCCAGATTAGGGCTGTTATCCTGGTCCGATCAGGGAGCCCTATAAACAGGAATGGCGGGGGTTCTATTCAATCTGCGAACTGGCTCAGTGTCAAGGACTTTCTATGTGTTGATAACGGGTGACTTAGTGATGGGATACCAGCCTCTGTGGAGTTATTTCACTCTTGTTATTCACTGTTCGACTAAGGGGAACAGTTGCTTCCTATTTCCCCTGTCCATGTCCCTCATAATCTTACACACGTCGATCAGGTCCCCGCTCAGCCTTCTTTGCTTTAAAGAAAACATCCGGAGTTTATCTAGCCTCTCTTCATCACTGAAATGCTCCATCCTAGGCAATGTCCTGGGGAATCTCCTCTGCACCCCCTTCAGAACAAACACACCCTTCCTATAGCACAGAGACCGGACTGCACAGAATGCTCCAGCTGTGGACTTCCCAATGTCATGTAAACCTCTAACATCACTTTTCCGCTCTTATAATCTATACCTCAACTGAGGAGATGATGGCCTACCGATATTATCACTCAACTGTCAATACAGAGCCCCAGATAATGCCTGGGAACCCTGGTTCAAATCCTGCTGGGGCCGATAAAAATATCTGGAGATACAAGTCTGATGATGACTGTGAATCCATTATTGTAAAAATCCATCTGGTTCACTAATGTCCCTTCGGGCAGGAAAATGCCGTCCTTACCTGGCCTGGCCTCCATGTGACCCACAGTAATCTGACCAATTAGGGTGGGCAATAAATGCTGCATAATCAGCGACACCCTCATCCCATGAATGAATTAAAAAGAATAAAGGCAAGTGTCCTGTATGCCTTCTTAACTGCTCTATTAATCTGTCCTGCCACCTTCAGGGATCTGCAGAGATTCCTCTGAGCTCCCTTGTGTCCTGCCACTAAACGCAATTTGTGATTGCGAAGGGTATAAAACAGTATTTTGTGGATGTTTCCTCATGCAGGACAATCTAGAACAAGAGGTCATTGTTTCAGGAGAAAGTGGTGGGCAGATTGATAATCGAGATGAGGAAGAGTGCCTTCGATCCCATTTCGCCCTAAAAACTGGAGCTGGGCAGAGCGGTTGGGGTGGGGGGAGGGGGTTGATGTCAAAGCTGATCCAGCTCGTAAAAGAAACAGGAATATGGTGGAGGAGAGAGGTGTAGATTTAAAGTGAGCTACAAATGGAGCAAGTTGGGATGAAGTGAGGAAGAAATGTTTCCACCGAGAAAGGAGTCTGTAATGCACTGCCCGGAAATGTGTGGCCGAGGCTGTTTCAATTTGAGAAGGGTGGTCAGACGGGGAGTCAGATAGGAGTGGGCCATGCAGGGATCTAGTGGTTGGGGGCATTAGATAATTGAGCCCTGGGGCCTAGAATGGGTGCAAAGGACCGAACAATCTTCTCCTGTTCCCATGACATATCTGGGCCTCCATGATTGGGCCTCCTGGGCCATTTCGCAAAACAGAACACGCTGGTATCAGAGAGTTGACAGTCCTCTCCTCAGGGCTAGGGGATTGGAGCACTACTTAACCTCCTATTGACTTTTGGGAACATTCACTATTGGCGTCCTCCCTTCTCAACAGAGGAGAAAGAGAGAGAATGGGGGGATATGGACCCCCGACAGAACCAATTCCCCAATCTCTCCATGTCCACCTTCACTGCTGTTTGAATCAAATGAACATGCTGATTAAGGAAGGGAAAGTCTATGGTACCTACTTTCCAGAATTTCTGTTAACACCTGCTTCCCCACCAGCATCGCACGCTCCCCCCTACCCCACAACCACTGGACCATCATGACTTCCTGACAAAGTCCACTTGCCCATTCTATTTAATGATTCACAGAGCTCTGAGCTATTCTTCTGTTATCGACCAGACCACATCCCCCAAAGTATATTGTTAGAAACAGTCAGACTCAACTTTTTAAAAAAATATATAAAAAATTATAGTGTAAGGTGCTATGTTGCAGATACTCTTGCCTTCATCAGTCTGTGCATTTAGTAGATGGGTAGGGATGTCATATTACGGTTGTACAGGACATTGGTGAGGCCACATTTGGAGTACTGCATACAATTCTGGTCGCCCTGCTATAGAAAAGATGTTATTAAACTGGAATGGGTGCAGAAAAGATTTACAAGGCTGTTATTGGGAGAGGCTGGATAGACTGGGGCTACTTTCCCTGGAGTGAGGATGAAGGGTGGTGTTAGAGGTTTACAAAATCATGAGGGGCACAGATAAGATAAATAGCCAAAATCTTTTTTTCCCCATGGTGGGAAGTTCAAGACTAGAGGGCAGAGGTTTACCGTGAGAGGAGAAAGATTTAAAAGGGACCCGAGAGGCAACGTTTTCGCACAGGTGCGTATATGGAACAAGCTTGCAGAGGAAGTGATCGAGGTGGGTCCAGTTACAATGTTGTGGTTGGTTGGCTCACGAGCTGGTTTGTTGATCCGCAGACGTTTCATTACCCTGCTGGGTAATATCATCAGTGCAGCCTCTGATGAAGCGCTGTTCTGTTTTCCCACCTGTTATTTAAACTCTGGTGTCCGCCCGGCTGGATTACCTCACTTCCAGCTTTTCTTTGCAATGGAATGTATATGGGGTTGAGCTGTATGTGTTTGTTGATAGCTTTCTTTGTGGAGTACCAGGCTTCGCGGAATTCCCGTGCCTGTCTCTGCTTCGCTTGCCCCAGGATTTTGGCGATGATAATACTCACTCATGTCTATCCACATGGATAAGGAGAACCACCAATTCAACTGGGACAATGCCAAAATCCTGGGACAAACGAAGCAGAGACAGGCACAGGAATTCCTAGAAGCCTGGCACTCCATGAAGAAAGCCATCAATAAACACATAGAACTCAACCCCATATACACTCCACTGCGAAGGAAAACCGGAAGTGATGCAATCCAGCTCAACGGATTCCAGAGTTTAAAAACCAGGCGGGAAAACACAGCGGCACTTCATCAGAGGCTGCACTGATGATGTAACCCAGCAGGTTCCATCTGCGGAACAATGAACCAGCTCGGCGAGCCAACCAACGACAACACCCACAACCCGAGCGACAAATCTACTCCGAAACAGTTACAATATTTAAAAGACATTCAGACAGGTATATGGATAGGATAGGTTTAGAGGGATATAGGCCAAATGCACGCAAATGGGACTAGTTTGGTTTGGGAAACAGGGTCAGCACTGAAGAGTTGGGCCAAAGTGTCTGTTTCTGTGCTTTAAGACTCTCTGATTTGATTGGTCCACTCGTAAACATGAGTGAAACACACTTTATTCTGATAGCACTATTAAAATATAACAGAAAGAAGAATTTGTATAACTTTACTCTATTGAAATATTTAACTACTAATCAGCAACTGTTCCAATATAGATAGAATCCCATACATACACCCTTTGGCAAAAATGCTATTCAGTAATGATTCTCGTTATGATTCTCACATGCTGCCTCTCTGCAGTCCAGAAGAAAGGAACAATCTTCCTGTTTTGATTTTTAAGAGAGAGCCTCGCTGTCTAAGACTTCACTCTAACAGCAGAGAACTCCAGCTTTTCGCTCAGCAGCCAGCCAGCAGAAATCTTCAACTAACTAAAAAAAAATCCTGGGTCTGTGGAAACCTGACCCTGCCAACTCATGATTGTTTTGTCTTTTGTTTCAACGGAACACCGAGGGAGAACTCAAAAGCCGTTTACCAATTCCCGGTGTGGCTTCCTCTACATCGGGGAAACCAAGCGGAGACTCGGGGACCGCTTTGCAGAACACCTACGCTCGGTTCGCAACAAACAACTGCACCTCCCAGTCGCGAACCATTTCAACTCCCCCTCCCATTCCTCAGACGACATGTCCATCCTGGGCCTCCTGCAGTGCCGCAACGATGCCAACCGAAGGTTGCAGGAACAGCAACTCATATTCTGCTTGGGAACCCTGCAGCCCAATGGTATCAATGTGGATTTCACAAGTTTCAAAATCTCCCCTCCCCCTACCGCATCCCAAAACCAGTCCCAGCTCGTCCCTGCCTCCCTAACCTGTTCTTCCTCCCACCTATCCCCTCCTCCCACCTCAAGCCGCACCTCCATCTCCTCCCGACCAACCTCATCCCGCCCCCTTGACCTGTCCGTCCTCCCTGGACTGACCTATCCCCTTCCTAACTCCCCACCTGCACTCACCTTTACTGGCTCCATCCCCGCCTCTTCGACCTGTTTGTTTCCTCTCCTCTATCCCTCTTCTATCCGCCTCCCACTCTCTCCCTATTTATTTCAAAACCCCCTTCCCCTCCCCCTTTTCTGATGAAGGGTCTAGGGCCGAAACGTCAGCCTCTCTGCTCCTACGATGCTGCTTGGCCTGCTGTGTTCATCCAGCCCTGCACCTTGTTGTCTCGGATTCTCCAGCATCTGCAGTTCCTACTATCTCTACCAATTGCCTGTCTGAATGAGACATTTCAGCGCCACTGTGGTAACAGCTCCCTGCACATAACACATCACTCTTAGAGTGCTGTCACACTCCCAACTCGCAAACATCCTTTTCTCTGATCTCAGGTAAGAGAGAGAGGATTTGTTAAGAGGGACAGTGAGAGAAAGAGAAGGGCAATATCTGGATTGATTTCAGGGGGACTGCTCAGTATGAACGAGTTGAGAAAGGTTGGAGATGTCAGTGTTGCTTTGAAAGGCAGATCCAGAGAACATTTACTCAGCTGATCCCAGGTACGGAGGGACTGTCTGATGAGGGAGAGGTTGAGTCGGTCAGGCCCCTGTCCCTGCTGAAGTTTAGGTGACCTTATTGAAGATTCTTCGAGGGACTTAACAGGGGAGATGCGGAGAGAGGTTGTTTCCCCTTATGTGGGAGTGTCTGGGACCAGAGAAGCATCATCTCAGAATAAGGGAGGTCACCCATTGAAGACGGAGATGAGGAGGAACTTCTTCTCTCCGAGCAGAGTCGATCTGTTGAATTTTTTTACCGTCTAGGCTGGGTCGTCGAGTCTATTGAAGGCTGAGATTTTGAATCAGGAAGGGGAATGGAGGGCGATTGGGGCAGAAAGGTACCAGTGACTGACCATTGTGTCCCACCTTGATCTCTCTCAGACTCTCTGGCTGTGCTCCCCTGCCACCATTAGGATCAGAGAAGCAAGAAACACCAGACTGAGTCACTGACTGAATGCATGCCCCAAACAGACAGGGCACAGCGATGGAGATCCTCACCACTCTCCTGCTGCTCGGTACGTACCTCCAGCTTTTATCACCATTTCCGAGTGGCCGCAAGGGATAAATCCGTCACTCGGCTCCTGCCCTCAGCTCAGTGCACAACCAGAATGTGAACAGACACACTCCCATCCAGACTGTGGACAGATAGCATTGCATATGTGTGCTGGCATTTCCCAGACTGTTTAACAAATGCAGTCTCTCAGTCACACTCCCTCTTTGTCTCTCTCTGACTCTCTCGCACGCTCTATCTCTCTCACGCTCTCACACACTCTCTCTCACGCTCTCACACACTCTCTCTCAGTCTCGCTGACCGTCTCTCTCACATACTGTCTCATATACTCTCTCTGATTCTGTCTCTCTTACATATACTGTCTCTTCCATACACTCTGTCACTCACACACACTCTCTTATACACTCTCTCTACCATATACTCTCTTTCATACACTATCTCGCTCACACTCTCTCACACACTGTCTCACACCTATTTCATGCATGTGGGAGAGACCAGAGAGAGACTATGAGAGAGAATGTGCTAAAAAGATAGAGATTGCTTGAGAGAATTGTGTCTGTGGAAAGCCCCTCTGCTTCCCTTTGCCAGGTTTCTCATTGATTCCGAATGGTTTCGATCTCTTGGAGACAGTGTCAGTGAACGGGATAAAGAGATACTGGGGAAATCCCTCAGGGGCCAGTCACTATGTTCTGTTCAGTCACTTGAATCTGATGTATTTCTGAAAAGGAAATGAATTTTGTCAAACGCTGCAATGATCATTGAATTTTGTAAACATGGTGTGTGTGACACAACTTGACATGTAAATCCAGACACATGGGAAATACATGATTCTTATCGGTGCACAAGTATGGAAATGTTTATGTGTGTATGTATGTGAGAGAGAAACTGTGTGGGGACAAAGAGATTGTGAAGGCACGCGAGAGAGTGTGTGGCAAAGAGAGGGCATGAGGGAGAGAGAGAGAATGTGAGCCAGAGAGTGAGTGTGAGAGAGTCAGAGAGGGTGCACGGTGTGGATGAGAGTTTGTGTGCGTTTGTGTGTCTGTATGTGAGTCACTCAGACAGTCAGTCAATTTGCTAAGTCAGTCGACAATGGAGTCAGAACCTCAGCCTGAGTTTTGGATCTCACCACAGCAGATGATTAAAGTTTGAATTTTTTTTAAAAGCAAGCTGTATTTAACAAAAAAGAAGCTGATCCAATGGAAATCATTGTCAATTATCAGGAAAAGCCCATTTGGTTCACTGTGTCCTTCAGGGAAGGAATCTGCTATCTTTACCTGGTCTGGTCTACATGTGAATCCAGACCCACCCCAAAATGGTTGACTCTTAATCATGTGTGGGCAATTAGGGACATGCAATAAATGCTGGTCCAGTCGGTGATGCCCATATCTCATGAATGTATGAAAAGAGAGTATGTGCTTGTGAATGTATGTGTGTGAATTAATTTGTACAATTAAGTTTAGAGTTTGTTCAAAAGCAGCAAAACATGAATGAGCATAAAATTACGGGGAACATAAAAACTGACTGTACAAGCTTCTGGAAGCACGTGAAGAGAAAAGAATTGTGAAGAAAATCATAGGTCCCTTACAGTTAGAATCTGGGGGATATTATAATGGCAGAAGGTTTGAAAACACAATTTGGTTATGTCTTCCTCAAAAGAGGAAAAGTAAGCTCCCAGAAAATGCTAGGGAACCAAGGTCTAGTGAGAGGAAGGAACTGAAAGGAATCAGTATTAGTAGGGAAATAGTGTTGGGGAAATTGATGGGATTGAAGGCTGCTAAATCCCCAGGGACTAATAATCCATATCTCAGTATGCTTAAGGAACTGGAACTAGATGAGGCAATGGCCTCGTGGTATTATTGCTGGACTGTTAATCCAGGGACCCAAACAACATTCTGGGGACCCAGGTTCAAAACCTGCCATGGCAGATGGTGGAATTTGAATTCAATAATATCTAGAATTAAGAATCTAATGATGACCATGAAAACATTGTCGATTGTCAGAAAATCCCCTCTTGCCTCCCTTAGGGAAGGAAACTGCCATCCTTACCTAGTTTGGCCTACATGTGACTCCAGACCCACAGCGATGTGGTTGACTCTGAACTGCCCTCTGCGCAATTAGCGATGGGCAATAAATGCTGCCTAGCCAGCAATGCCCTCATCTCATGAATGAATTTTAAAAAACTAGACAAAATGAGGGCATTGTTGGTCATGTTCTAAGATTCTGTAGGCTCTGGAACAGTTCGCACATATTGGAGGGGAGCTAATGCAACCCCTCTGTTTAAAAAGGAGGCAGAAAGACAAAAATAAAGTGGAGTATTATCGACCAGATAGCCAAACATCGGTTTGTAGGGGAAATTCTGGAATCAATTATAAAAGATGTGATAACAGAACACTTAAAAAGCATTAAAAGGATTGGAAAAAGCCAGAATGGGGCTATGAAAGGCAAATGAATCTTAATAAATTGACTGGTGCTTTCTGAGGGTCAAAGGATGGATGAGAGAAAACCAGTCGATGCAGTATATTTGTTTTTTTCAGAAGACTTTTGGTAGAAGATTCCTGCGCAAAGTGCAAAATACAAGGGATTGAGGATATTATGTTGATGTGGATTGAGAATTGTTTCCTGTCTGTCAACCAGAGTGTGAATAAATGGCTCTTTTTTACCGAGAGGCAAGTAGTGACTAGTGGGATATCACAGGGATCAGCACTTGGGGCCCAGCCACTCTCAATATATATTAGTGACCTGGATGAGGGAGCAAAATGCATCAGTTCCAGATTTGGTCATGACACAAAACTGGGCAGGATTGTGAGGAGGGCACAATGGAGGTGATTTAGACAAATTGAGTGAGTGGGGCAAACTCATGGCAGATGCAGTACAACATGGCTAAATGTAAAATGATACACTTCAGGTGTGGAGAAACAGAAAGCATATATGATTGAAATGGTGATACATTGGGAAGTGTGGATGTACAAAGGGATCAGAGTGTCAATAAAAGTACACGTGCAGGTCCAGCCAGTAATTAGGAAGGCAAATGGGACATTGGTCTTCATTGCAAGAGGATTACAATTTGGAAGTAGGGTTGTCTTACTGCAGTTATACAGGGTCTTGGTGAGACCACACCTGGAGTATTGTGTGCAGTTTTGGTCCCCCTACTGAGGAAAGGATATCCTTTCCAGAGAAGGAGTGAAGCAGAAGTTCACTAAGCTGATAGCAGGGATGGCAAGATTGTCCTATCTGGAGAGATTGATTTGAGTGGGAGCTATATTCACTAGAGTTTAGAAGGAGAAGAAGAAGGCGAGGGGCAAGGCTTAAAGGTGATGTACAAGGCAAGTTTTTTACACAGAGGGTGGTGGGTGCCTGGAACTCTCTGCTGGTGGAAGGAGTGGAAGCAGATACTATAGTGACATTTAAAGGACGTCTTGACAAATACATGAACAGGATGGGAATAGAGGGATACGGTCCCCTGAAGGGTAGGGGGTTTTAGTTGTGACAGGCAGCATGTCCGTACAGGCTTGCAAAGCCAAAGGGCCTGTTCCTGTACTGTAAGTTTCTTTGTTCTTTGTTCTTTGAGAAGAGGGGATCAGATTGAAAATACGACCAGTGCTGGACAGACTAGATGCAGAGAGTATGTTTCCCCCTGATTAAGAGGAGTCTAGGACCAGGGAGGTGCAGTCTAAAGGAGATGGAGTAGGGCTGAGATGAGGAGAAATATCTTCCCCCAAAGGGGAGTGGGCCTGTAAAATTCTCAGCCACAGAATGATGTGGAGGGTGGGTCAAAAATAAATCTGAGGAGATAAATAATTGTCTGGATTTGAGAAGAACCAAGTGGAATGAAGACAAAGTGGGATGTAGGATTAATACATAGGTGCATTTTAGAGCATAACTTTTAGGCAGAGCAATTTTCAAAGGTAAAACCACTGAATTGTTTTCTCTTTCTTTATGGCTTTGAGATAGAGAATCAGCCATGATTCTGTTGAATGGTGTAGGAGACTTGAGGGGCCGAATGGATGCTTCAATCTCAATCTCATTAATAATCGGCATGTCTTTTTTAAAAATGAATTCATTCACAGGATGTGGGCATTGTTGGTTGGGCCTAGCATTAATTACCTTCACTTTTTATTCCATTTTTGCTCTCTGCACATGATGGGAATTAAATACAGGTCCCTAGAACTTTTCTCTCCCTCTTTCTCTCTCTCTCTTTCTGACCCATCTCCCTATCTCAGTCTCCCCTCCCATTTTCTCTCTGTCTCCCAACTCTCTCTCTTCTTTTTCTTGCTCCCACACTCATTCTCTCTTTATCCATCCTCTCTCTCTTTATCTTTCTTTCTTCTATCTGTCTCTCCCTATCCATCACACTCTTTATCACTGTCTCTCTCTCTCTGTCTCCCTCTGAACACCCTATCACTGTCTCTCTTTCTCTCATCTTTTTCTTTCTCTCCCTCCCTCTCTTTCCCTCTCACTGTCATTCTTTGTCATGCTCTCTCTACCCCACCCCCTCTCTCTTCCTTCCCTTTCCTCTCACTCTATTTCCCTCATCCTGTCCCTTTTGTTCTATTTCTCTCTGTCTAACCACCCCTTCTCCATGTCTCTCGCACGCTGTCCCTCCCTCTCAGACTCTCCTTCCTTCTCTATCTTCTGTCTTGTTCTCCCATTTCTCTATTCCATCTCTCACTCACTCTCCCTCTGCCTCCCTCTCCCTTTCTCCCCCTCTCTCTGTCCTCCTTTCTATTTTTCTTTCCCTCTGTCTCTCTCTCTCCCTCTCCCTCCATGACTCTCCCTCCTTCTCTCTCTTTTGTTAGCCCTCTTTTGTCTCTGTCTCTCTCTCTTTCTCTCCCTCCCTCACTCTCTGCTTTCCTTGATCTGTATCCCTTCCATCTCTGTCTGTTTCTGCCCCTTTCACACACACATGCCCACACTCTCACACATGAATACACACAGTCTCTCTATATCTCTCTCTCACACCTACACTCATATACATGCATGCCTATGCTCTTTCAAACACACAATGCACACATCTCTCTTTCTCACATACACAGATTCTACTCTCACGTGCGTACACACACAAACACACAGACTCCTGTCACTTACACACAGATACCTCTCTCTCTCTCTCTTTCTCTCACACACTTCTCACACACACACAGACTCCTCTCTCTCACGTACATAAACACACAGGCACAGAACCCCTCTCTCAAACAGACCCCTCTCTCTCTCACACTCACACACACACACACACTCATGCGCATACACACGCTCACACACACACACATTCTCCCTCTCACACACACACAGAGATTCCTCTCTCCTGCGTGCATGTACAGACACGCACACAGACTGTCTCTCAGACACATAGATTCCTCTCTCATACACACACAAATACAGTCTTCTGTCTCACACATGCAAACCTTCCTCTCACACACAAAACATCCTCTCTCTCTCAGATACATACACACAGACTCCTCTCTATCTCTCACTCTCTCTCTCTCTCTCGCGCACACACACCCACATTCTCTCCCTCGCTCACACACATGCACATTCTCTCTCTCACACACTTTTGCTCACGCACACACCCACACTATTTTTCTCATGTGCGCACACACACATGCGCTTTTGCTCTCACGTTGTCACACACATGACGTCAACAAGTGAGCCTTATTATGCATCACCGCTGAACAAATGAAAATAAGAGCTATCATGTTAAAGCATTTGATCAGCAGTTGGCCATTCACCCCATCGAGTCTGCTCCACCATTCCACGAGATCGTGTCTGATCTGATCATCCTCAACTCCACTTTTCCCTATGACCCTTGATTCCCTTCCTGATTAAAAATCTCTCCAGCTCAGCCCTGAATCTACTTCCCAATCGCGTTTCTTTTGGACGATGGGAAAGACATCTCCAGACTTTGTTAATAAACATTTCAGAACGTAGGACAAATACATAGGTGCATTTTAGAGCATGAATTTTAGGCAGAGCAATTTTCAAAGGAAAAACCGCTGAATTGTTTTCTCTTTGTTGCCATGCAACCCACAAAACTTATCAATTTTATCTAATTGTGTATTTTCAGGGCAAATAATAATTCTACAAATACGAGAAGGTATGTTGAGTCCCAGTTTGGCTCCACCACATGACATATTGATGAAATCCACGGTGTCAGTACTCAAGCCAATTTTTACATAACGAATAACAAAGTATTGTGGATGCAGGAGATCTGAAACAACACCGAGAGTGCTGGAGAAACTCAGCAGGTCTGACAGCATCTGTGGAGAGAGAGGGAGAGAGAAAATCAGAGTTAACGTTTCGAGTCCATCACACTCCTGACTCACAGTTATAGAGTCCTAGAAATGCACAGCATGGAAACAAACCCTTAGGACCAACTCATCCATGCCGACCAGATGTCCTAAATTAATCTAGTCCCAATTAGCTGTATTTGGCCCATGACCCTCTTAACCCTTCCCATTCACATACCTATGAGATGTATTTTAAATGTTGTAATTATACCAGACTCCACCACCTCCTCTGGCAGCTCATTCCATACGTGCACCACCCTCCGTGTGAAAAAGTTGCCCTCAGGTCCTTTTTTAAATCTTTTCCTTGTCACCTTATACCTATGCCGTCTAGTTTTGGACTCCCATACATTGGGGAAAAGACCTTGGCTATTCACCCGATCCATGCCTCTCATGATTTTATAAGCCTCAAAAAGCTCACCCCGCAGCCTTCAACACTCCAGGGAAAATAGCTCCAGCCTATTTAACCTCCCCCTACAGCTCACACCCTTCAACTCTGGTAACATCCTTGTAATCTTTTCTCAACCTTTTCAACTTTCTTTACATCTTTCCTTTGCAGTATTCCACAAGTGACCTAACCAATCTCCTGTACAGCCGCAACATGACCTATACTCAATGCACTGACCAATAAAGGTAAACATACCAAACACCTTCTTCATTTCTTTCTCCATATGCAATGTCACTTTCAATGAACTATGAACCTGCACTCCAAGCTCACTTTGTTCAGCAGCACTCCCTGGGACACTACCATCAAGTCTATAAGTCCTGCCCTAATTTGCTTTATGAAAAGCAACACATCACATTTATTTAAATTGAACTCCGTCTGCACTCCTCAGCCCAGGCAAGGTTCCATTGTACTCTGAGATACACTTATTCACTGTCCATTTTACCACCAAGTTTAGTGTTGTCTGTAAACTTAGTAACAATGCTTCCTATATTCACATCCAAATCATTTATGTAATTGATGAAAAGCAGTGGACTCAGCTCTGATCCTTGCAGTGCACTGCTGATCACAGGCCTTATGTCTGAAAAGCAACCCTCCACCACCCTCTGTCTCCTACCTTCAAGCCAATTTTGTGTACAGTTGGCTAGCTCTCCATGTATTCCATGTGATCTAACCTTGTTAACCTGTCCACCATGTGGAACCTTGTCGAATGCCTTGGTGAAGTCCATTTAGACAATGTCCACTGCTCTGCCTTCAATCTTCCTTGTCTCTTCTGCAAAAAATTCAGTCAAGTTAGTGAGACATGATTTTCCGTACACAAAACCATGTTGACTATCCCTTGTGCCATGTCGATGGTGGACAGGCTTTGGGGCGACTGGAGGTGAGTTACTTCTTGCAGGATTCCCAGCCTGTGACCTGCTCTTGTAGCCGATGTATTTACATGGCGAGCTTAGTTCAGTTTTTGGTCATTGGCAACCACCAGGATGTTGATAGTGGGGGGACTCAGTGATGGTAATAGCATTGAGTGTCAAGGACCAATGGTTAGATTCTCTCTCAATAGTAACCCCAAGGATGTTGATAGTGGGTGATTCAGTGATGGTAACACCATTGAATAT